AAGAAAAGAAAGAAAATTGACCGAGTCATTACACCATCATCTAGGTAATTGCATAATATTGTTTAATATTTTAGCGATTAAAATTCAAGCCTTAATCTATGTAATTGCAGAAAAAAGTTTAATATTTCAGCAAATTAAATCCAGAGTATGCATATATCAAATCTGATAAATAAATGACCCTATTGTGCATCTAAAACGACATTTATAATCATGCCATAATCTGTTAAATCGCCAAATTAAATTAAGCAATTAATTCTCTTCCATCCGTTAACAGCATGCAAAATTGTTTAATTTCATACTGTTCATTCCATTAGCATAACGATGTAAGTTATGCAATATGAGGTTATAAGTCCATTCCCTAAAACAATCCAGAATGCCAAATTCGTCCAAATAGTGCCCAATACACCTCCAGAATGCGTCTAAACAAAGGAGCCTACTCTTAAAACTTGAGAACAGGCTCCCTAGCCCTTGGAGCCGGCTCTATAAAGAGGAGAGCCGGCTCCCCATCACCTAGAGCCGGCTCTAAACAAGAAGGAGCCGGTTCCCACTTCCCTGGATCCGGCTCTCTCCCTCTTTGAGAGCTCTGAACCTTTCTCTGGCCTTCTGCTTCGTCTCCAGCCACTTCCAACTCTTCTATTCCTCTTTAATATTGAGCCTAAGAGTTTAATTTACACCCAGAAGCATCTAATCATTTGTTTACAAAAGTTGGAATTAATAACAATGATTAAAACCCCTACCGATTCATTATGTTTTAAAACAGACCTTGAACTCCAAACTTGTAAGACAATTCCAGATTAAATTAAATACATACAAACTATTAATTTAACACATACAAAGCATGTAAGACTCGGTTAATATCCAACTAAAATCCTAGAGATCATTTAGGTATGCACAGAACACAGGCCAAGGGAAGAGAGACAGAAAAGAACTTGCCTGTGAGATTTTTGAATCAAAAACCTCGTCGCTGCCTTCCTAAGCTTTCTGACGACGTTCGTTCACTATCAACCTCCTACTGCTCAACCTTCCCTCCTCCTAGGTCCGTCCTTTAATCCACAGCCAAAACCCCAACTGTAAACTCTCTGTTTTTCTCATAATCGCTATCTATTTCTCTCTATATCTTTGGTACGTGAATAGGGTTTTTCCAACCCTTTTTGCAGGCTTATAATAGTATAATTATAGATACCAATAAAAACCTAAGTCCAACTTTAATCAAAGACGAAAACCCTAATTAAACCCTAGTCGGCCAATACGTGATATAAAAGAATAAAACCTTTTTTTTACCTGAATAATTAAAACAACTAATTAACTATCACACAATCATATTATTCAGAAACAAAATAATTAAAACAAAACCCAATTAACTCACTTAAATAACCTAATAAACCATTTAAACAATTAAAACCAATTTAATCCATTTAAAGCAAATAAAAATACAATTAAATAAACAATTAAACAAACAATTCAATTAAATAAAATAATTAATCCATTAATTAAAATAAACAGGCAAATAAAACAATAAAAATGCAATAAAATAATTATTAAAATGCCGAGACTATCCTTTTAAAATTAGGGGTATTATATTATTCAACATAGATCATTACAAGGGATCATTCCTCCTAACGTCTGTGTTCTAAGGTGAACTAAGGGATCATCTCAAGCTACACAAGCAATTGAAATGAAAGACAACATACAAGTACATATACTTAAGTATACAAAACAATGTTGAAAAACAATGCACGACATATAAGCATACACTTACAAGTATACTAAACCATATTAAAACAAGTTAAGCAATCTCTAAGCATACATACACGAGTATACAATTAATATGGAAACCCTCGTAAATCAAGTATACAAGCACAAGTATACTAAGTTAAACGAAATACGCATAAATAAGACAAGTATAGATGATACAAGTATACTAAATGAAATTTAAACACACGGAGCAAGTATACAAGTTCAAGTATACAAAATAAGGTATAAATAAATGAAACAAGTATACTAAATGATATTTAAATACATAAGCAAGTATACAAATTCAAGTATACTAAATGAAATTTAAATACACAAGGCAATCGCCAATTCATAAGCTACAAGTAATCCATGATTAACTACTTGGAATTAAATGCGAAATCATTTAGTGGAAAGACTAGGACACGTGGTCACACACCAAGTAATTTATTCTGGGTAATTATGGCCCACAAGGTACTACCTAGTGCGCACGTGTATAAGTTATTCTATGTAATTTCGACCCACAAGGTACTACCTATTGCGCACTATATGACTTAGAAAGACTCTTGTCTACGTACTAGAGCCGAACCCTAGCTATCACACACACACACACACATACACACACACACACACACACACACATATATATATTGTCCTCACAACCTTCCCAAAATCAGCAAGTTCAAAACTTTATAAAATAAATAATGCGATAACCACATTCCACGCACAAGTAAGATTGAATCCACACAAACAATGTCATAGAATTCAAGTCTAAATGGCATATGACATGTCAAGTTTTCAATATGCAATTTATATACAAAACAAAAATATTTTACAACAATTGAGCCAAATTACCATCCTAAGCCACAAGAACTAAATAAGTTACAATTTCGTAACAAACTTTCAAGGTAATCAATTGTAATATTCTAAATAAGTAATATACCTATACAAGATATATTTAAATAGCTATATAAGACAATGATATCATATATCATGTTAAGTAAAATTACCATTTTAGGAGGTCACAAGTACTAATTCTACAACAAGTTAGTAGTATGCTCACAAGGTAATTAATGTATTACTTTACAAGAGAATATCATCGAAATATGAAAAGTCACTGAAGTTAAGTAATCTAGTAAATGAAACAATTTACTTACGGCAAGATATATATGCTTCCAAGGCTTTGAATTTTCATACAAGCTATATAATGCATATAAACTATAATTCCACAAACCACCAATTATCATGTTATCTCTACACATTATATATATATATATATATATATATATATATATATATATATATGTTAGGCATGCTTTAAATCATGAAACAAGATATATAATACATATATAAATTACAATTTGGCAAGCTACACATATATATACACCAAACATGCTTTTAAATCACTAAACCCTAAGTCATTTCAAAGATTATTTATCTATATACAAGACAATGGTTTATCAAGCATGTTAACAATATATATTAAGCTCTAAAAACACCAAAACACTTAGTAAATAAACATACAACAACCCCCTACCTCAATTTGAGATGAAATCTCAAAAACCACCAAAATGAAACTTTTCCAAATGTGACGCCACTTTGGGGTTTTGTCAGGGACAACGAAGGGAACAAGAAACCCTCTTGCGGCAACACCAAAATCCAAACCCGAGCCAAATTCCAAACTCGAAAAATGCCCAAAATGGGATTCCAATCTGTTGGAATCAAAGGCCTCGTCAAGGTCAACACTTATGCCTTCATCGTCGAAGGAAAAATCCAAGAGGAGAAGGCTCAAAAGAGAGGAAGAAGGTGGCAGAATGGTGGCCGGCCATAGGAGAGACAAGTAAGCTTTTAAAATTTTGTCTCTCTCCCCCTATTTATAGAAAAACCCTAAAAGTGCCCCGAACGGGTCCCGCTCGGCCCCAAAAAGTGGAATCTGTGCAGACGCGCTTAAACGAAAAAACAATGTGAACAAAAAAAGAACTAAAATGAGAAAAAATGAACAACGGAAGAAACGGCGTCGAAAACCAAGTTCCATGTAGAATGATATGCCCCGAGCAAGTTCTGCGGCAACCGGGGTAAAAAATTCGAAAACTAGGGAAAATGATCGGAAGACAATTTTAAGAGTACACGACTCGACGAAATGCGAAAATGAATCCCGTACGAGGATCCAAGCCCCAAGGAGATACTTTGCAATTAACTTTTGTTAATTACACAAAGGCCCCTACACAAAAGGATAATTATGCAAGTGACCTAAATGAAAGTATCTTACAAAAGCTACTTTCTTAAAAACCCCCAAATCAAAATATCTCTAAAAGATATTTATGAAAAGCACCCCAAGAAACGAAAATGTTTCTGAAGAATCTCTTCATCCACACTACGGGAAAAAGAAACAACCAGCGAGTTTTTCTCCAAAAGTAAAGTTACGCATTTTGAGGAAACCAAATAGAAAGAAAGCACGTAAAGTAAAAAATCAACTCCGAACACGAAAAGTAAGGTTACGTGAAAGAAAATATCAACAAAAAAAGAAAATCAGTAAAAATGGGAAAAAAAAAGGAAGGAAAATGGCAAGGTCAATACATAATATTTACAAATTTTAAATATATGGTTTGTGAGATATGAATTTTTGAAATTCGGGAGAATTAAGATTTAAATAAAATGTACTTTGGTCCAAATATAAACTCTTTTACCTTTTCATATAGTTGAATGTGTTATTTAGTAAAAAATTAGACAAGGTGGACTTATTCGAAAAAAAAGGTTATAAGTCCAGGGAGGTTCTTTAGTAAAAAAATAGATAAAAGTTCACTAAAAAATGTTACAAGCTATGAAGCACGGAAACCGACACGGGACACGGGTACGATACGATACGGGTACGGCGATCCGGCAAATTTTTAAAAAATAGGACACAGACACGGCATGGATACGGCGATAAAATAATAATATAATTTTTATTATATATAAAAAATATTTATTTTTACTTAATTTTTTATATATATTAATTAATAAAACCCATATAAACTAGCCGAATCAACCTTTTTTTTTCTTCAAAAACATAAAGTCAATAAGCACCTTACAAAAACCAGTGGCCGGAAATCAGGTGAACAAAGTTAGAATCATCCTCAATACTAATACAGAATAACAAATATATATCTAGAGCACTATTTATAAAATTATATATATATATATATAAGAAATAATACTGATATGACGTCTCACCTAACCCCCTCTTTTTCTCCCCAATCCCTCATTTTCCAATGACCCACGTGACCGCTGCTCAGATCCCCCTTATCTTCAGTTCTTCACACACAATTTGAACACAAAAGCAAACACCACCGTTCACAGGGCCATTCCCATAGGCGTCTCTGCTTCTTTGATTCCCCTTCTATGTTTACAATTTGAGATCAAAGCAAAATCAAATTTACCTCTTCGTGTCCCCCATCGTTCCGATCATTCACTTATTTCTCTTTATCTTCAAATTTACCTCTTCATGTCCCCCTTATCTTCAATTCCGATCATTCACTTATGGCTCTCTTCCTCCTCTTCCTTCACTACTTCAGGCAAAATATCTCAGTCTTGAGATGAGAATGCAAAAGAGGCACAGTGGAATCAGATCGGTGCATGTCTAATAGGTGTCCGGTGCGTGTCTGATCGGTGTCCGGCTACATCAAATATATTAAAATATGCAGGACACGGTTAGAACGTGTCGGACACGTGTCCAAGCCTCGGATACGCGTGTCCGTGTCGGACACTGGTACGTCGACCCTTAGAGCCGTGTCGGTGCTTCATAGGTTACAAGTGGAGGCAGGCTTTTCTATACTTTGCCCTTAATACTATTACTATGTTTGTTTTTCCTTCTTATTGGTTTCCATTTCTTTTCCATTGGACTAGTTCTTTCCAAACAGAGCCTTAAATCTTTTGTTTTGTTTTGGTTTAACTTTGCCGTGAATCAATTTACGCGCATCTCTTTAGTGAGTTTGTTTTCCCCTTTCGGTAGGGGTGGGGGTTTTCTCTGTTTTCCCCCAAAATCGGTGCTGCGAACATGGATTCATCTGGCTCTAGCAGTGGTTCAAACTCTTTTGAAGAATCTGATCCATTCCCGAAGAAAGCAAAACCTCATTGCCATAAATCGTATTATGAGGATGAATAGGAAAACCAGAAATCCAGGTACTTCTCAAACGACGTTGTCTCTGATCCCAATAGTGACAGCGAAGGAGAAGGAGAGTGTTCTTCTGATGATGGGTTTAACGATGGCCTTCACGAGATGACCATGAAAGAGTCCTTCGAGTACTATACTCATGTTGGAGCCAGCGATGTAAGTGTCTCTTCCATCTATATTTCAACCTAATGCTCTCAATAACAATTTGTTTTAATTTTCTTTCATTTGATTTAATAATCCCAATTTGTGGAATTTCATAGACTTCAAATTTGGAATTATTGTTGTGTTTGCTAATTGCTAGTATAATTTTATTAGTAAATCAGATGTGTATGATTATGATGAGGTTTTGATCATTAGTTGATTTTGATCTATCTGAATAATGTCAATAATTTATTTCCATTTACCCTTATTTGTTTTTGTTTTCTCTGAACTGTGATTTTACCTCAAGTGTCTACAACCTATGATTATGCCTCAAGTGTCTACAACCTATTATACTGGAACATCAAGCTAATGCCCTCAATAGTTCACAGACACACATATATATGTTTGTGTATTTAGATGACTAATTTTTATGCACATCACAGGGGTTTGATGTTCCTGAATTTCCCAACGTCTTTGCGTTGGGTATCATTATACCATATCTCAAGCCTGACGAAGAGTTCGAGCATCATGAATCACTCAAAGAGCTTAACTGCTGTTCGAAGTTAGCAGTTGATCATTACGACATGAAAAACGTCTGTAGTTTTATTTTTCCAATCTATTTTTCCTTTTGTGTAAATCTTCAATTTTTTTTAACCCCTTTCATATTATAAATTGTCTTGTAGTATGCAAATTACGAGTTTGTGAAGGTTGTGAAGGCAAACTCACAGGCTGTTGCTGGTGCCATGTTTTATATTACCTTTGAAGCCAGGGATAAGGATAAGGATGATGCTCCTGTTGAAATGTTTGAAGCAAAGGTGTATTCTGGAATTAAAGAGACGAATATGCGTGTCTTGACGTGCAGACCAAAAAAGGTTACTATAATTGACGAAGGTAAAATTAATAATTCAGTAACTGGATAGCAATTTATGTTAATTTTCTTTGATTTGATTTAATTATAATTTGTGGAATTTGATAGACTTCAACTTTGGATTGATTGTTTGCTGGTAAATCTGATGTGTAGTACCCCCAAAAGTTTAAAACTGATTTTAAAATAGTTGATTTTGGGAATTTTATGTTATATATATATATTTTTTTGTGATAAGTGAATTTTATGTTATATATGAGTCATAGCCCTACTTTAACTATGTATATGGTGTATAATAGTAAGATAGTTTGTTTGAATTTGTTTGAATAATTTAATGAATTTAAATTTGTTTTAATAGATTAAAGTAACATGTAAATTACGGGAAACTAGTGTCTTCAATTAACAATGCTTATTAGACCTAATGAAGAATAATTGAATGCTTAACAAGGTGTAATTATCATGTATTCATGTGAGAGTGGATGTAAATTGGCTAGTGAATGAGGACGAAGCTTGTTATCAAATCTGGTGGGTTAAATATAGAAAGCACATTCTATGTAAGTACTTATTGAGGAATTGATAATGAATAAATGGATGAATATGTCTATTGGTATAATGAGCAGATTATACACATAATTTAAACATGTATTCAGGCTATTTGGTGGTCGAATTTGGGGTTAAGAACAGTGTTGTTAAAGGCGCACCCAGGCTCGCGCCTAGGCTTGAGGCTCAAGTTTAGCTCATGTTGTCATTCAAGGCTCACTGATGTTTACTAGACGCGCGTCTCGGTTGCACCTCGTCCTGTCAAGCGCGTCTCACTAACATTTGTTTTAAAAAATACTATTGCTCTATTTCTTAAGCCAAAAAGGGTTTGGCAATTTAATAAACAAAAAAGAAAGCCCAAGCATACGATAGAAGGAACTTTTGTACAAAAGAATAAAAAAAAAAAAAAAAAAAAACCAAGAGTCAAAGTGTTAACTGAAAATCGATAGAATGAGATTGTGAGACGAAGACAAAGCCCTAGTTATAAAGATGAACAAAGAAGCCACGTCAGGTTTTTTTTTTTTTTTTTTTCTAGATCTCCCCTCTCTTCTTATCTTTATTTACATCTCTTCTTCGTCTAGTTCGCTTCTCTCTGTCTTTTTTTTTTGGCTCTGTTTTTCTTTTCTTTTTTATTGTTAAGTATATATGTTTTTTTGTTAACACATTTAGTTCTTTTTGTGCTTTGTTTTGCCATTAAAAAAAAACGTATTTTGCTTTGCCTTTCAAGAAAACAAATTTGTGCACTCTGTTTTATGGTTGTTGGATGCCTGTATAGTTGATGGATTTATTTTTTTATATTTGATATTAATTTTTAGAATATTGATATGACTTATGAGATATGAATGTTATTATGGTAGTTTAAATTTTCAATTGTGTTCCTCGCTTCACCCAGGTGCGCACCTAGGCTCCAAAGGACTTTTAGCGCCTTGGTGCCTTGGGCCTTTAATAACACTGGGTAAGAATATTGGGTTGCGAAATAGGGTTCATGGGTGTATATTTGATCAGAAAACAATTTGGAAAGAAGACTTAACAGTGAGTGACGCAAGTCCACGTGCATGCTGAGGGACAGAATGATGGGCACAGCCTCAGATCGATCCAATAGTAACTTATAGATATTATTAATTTTTAATGAATTGTAATTACAAAAATTTAGAGAAAAAATAGAAATAAGTTTCAGAAAATTTCAAAAAATTACCAAAAAAATTACTATTGGCAATACTAAATCAAAATTTACTGATTAAGTAAATTTTAGACAGACTTTAGGCTGTTTAATAATTTAATTACCAAAATATTGGTACTTTTAAGTACTAAAGTCGAGAATACGGAAAAGTGGTAAATAGTTATATTGCGTAATTACACAGGCATATAAGCTGAATATGGAGGATGAATTGTATATTTAGGGCCTGTTTGGAGGGAATTCTTGCACCCTTGATACCTCTGCTTTTGTATTGTTTCTCTTGCCGAAGGCTCTGTTGAGTTCTCTTTGGGACCCCATTGTACATTTCTCTTTAATATATATTTATAAAAGGCTTACCCTTTATTTATAAAAAAATAAATGCCTACTAAAAAAGAATAGAAAATGAAATGCGAAGATGCATTAAATTTTTTTAACGGAACCTCAGTTCTTCTTTTGCTTAATTGGCTTCTGTAAATTTTGAACATGTTTGTGTTTATTGCAGATGTTAGGTGCAACAAAGAGGAATATGAGTGTGATTCAAATTCTTAGTTGGAGTGCTGGAAGTGAGTTTGCTGCCTTTTTCTAGACCAGTTGCTGCACCTGGACATGTAGCATAACTAAATAGTAGTTTGACCCTCCTCTTATCAAATACTAGTTGACTTTAATGCTAACCGGCTATTTCTTGAGAAAAACTTAATGGTGTCCGAAGTAGTAATGACATGGTATAGATAATGAAGTATTAAAGTTACAAGGACGTTTTTCTCTGGCTCTTCACATATCCTCTTACACATCTGCTAGTATCTTTTGGTGGAACTCTCAATGTTTACACTGTAGGCAAATACAGAGTACATAATCAATGTGTTTTTATTATTGGATAGGCAGCAATTATATGGTTGTTGAACTTTTGCTAATATATAGTTTCTTCAACTGATGCTTTATTTTATAATCCTTAAGATATTGTTTACAAATAATGTTGTTCTTTAAAATAGAATCTGGCTGTAGGTGAATTTAGTATTTTAATGTTGGTGAATCATTGTAGTGAATTGATCATACTACCTAGGTGACAATGTCATTTCTAATGATGTCTCTTGTTAGCATAAAAAATAAAAAATAAAAAATAAAAAAAAAAAAACAAAGAAAGATAAATTACGGGATGATGATATCCTTTCTTCCGCTACTCACATCAAAGTAGTTAGTTGTAGTGAATTGATCATACTGCCTAGGTGACGATGTCATTTCTAATGATGTCTCTTGAAAAAAAAAACAAAGAAAGATAAATTACGTGGGTGAATTAATCATACTGCCTAGGTGACGATGTCATTTCTAATGATGTCTCTTGAAAAAAAAAACAAAGAAAGATAAATTATGTGGTGATGATATCCTTTCTTCCGCTACTCACATAAAAGTAGTTAGTTGTGACCGACTTTCAGACTTTGTGTCACACTACTCTTTAGAATTAAAATCATGTGCTATACATTGGAGGTTAATGGACATCAACCCAGATGAGTTATGTGCTACGAGTGCATATGAATCTTATGACATTCATTGTTATTTTAGCCCTCTCATAAATAAGATTAGACCATTTGTGACAACCATATGCCCATATGGCAGAATTCACCAATTTAGAGTTGACCTACCTAAAATCTAAATGTGAGAAATGCAAATTAAAATTAACATTAACTCAAAACTAGACAAATTTTTTATTTTATTTTATTTTTAAACAAAAGAGAATCATTTCCAATGTAGTTTGAATAAAATGCAAGCTTTAACTTCTATAACAATTTCCGCAAAGATCTATTTGGAAAAAAGACTTTACAAATATGTTTAAAAGATTTGAGTTTGAAATTAAAAATGATGCTAAAGTATTTTATGAATTATTGAAAATTAAAGACGGATTCAAACGTTTTGAAAAAATGCCTTTTGATGCTTTAAGCAATTTATGTATATCGCAAATGGAAAAATTAAATACTTTTTAATTTAAAAATACTTTCATTTAAAAACAAATAGAAAAATCAAACCTCAATTATATTCACACTTAGTATTGTTGTTGCTTTGCATTATAATTTTGTAGAATAAATATTTCTTTTCTTTTCTCTTTTACTTTTTGTTATTATTATTATTAGGGCAAAGTAAAGAAAACCCCCCTCTAAGGGGGTAAAAGAGTTAATATTTAGATCAAAATGCCCTTTTTATTTTAAATCTTAATTTTCTCGAACTTCAAAAATTTGTATCTCACAAACTGCACATCCAAATATTACAAATAATATATGCACGGAAAGCTTATAAAACAAAGATTGCATAAATATAAGATTTGTTTAATAAAACTTCATAACTAGAGAGAATATAGATAATCTAAAAATCTACTACAACAATCTTATTTTATTTTATTTTTTATGAAATACTCGGGTTATTTGCAAGAAAATTTTTAGAATTATTCATTTTTATAGAAAGCATAACATATAAAAAAAAAAATAGTCTCAATAGAGACCGAGTATTCATATTTATTTATTTTTAAATAGTGAGTCTATAAAAGAATGAAAATACATTGATGCAAAATATGATATATCATGAAATCGATCTTTGTTGGGCTAAATTTTTTATATATTTGATTCCATATGTAAATGAATAATTCTGAAAATTTTCTAGCAAATATCTCAAGTACTTTATTTTTTTAAATTAAAATAAGAATTTTGGAGTAGATTTTTAGATTGCCTATTTCTCTCTAGTTATGAATGTTTGTTATACAGATCTTATATTTTTGGAATCCTTATTTCATAAGCCTTTCGTGCATATATTATTTACAGTTTTTAAATATACGGTTTGTGAGATATGAATTTTTAAAGTTCGGGAGAATTAAGATTTAAATAAAAGGGCATTTTGGTAATATCAACTCTTTTACCTCTTCATATAGTTGAGGGTGTTATTTGGTAAAAAAAATAGGCAAGGTAGATTTATTGGAAAAAAGGGCTACACGTCGAGGGGGATTCTTTGGTAAAAAATAGATAAGATTTTATTATAAAAGGTTACAAGTCGAGAGGGGGTTTTATGTACTTTGCCCTTAATACTATTACTATTTTTGCTTTTCCTTCTTATTGGTTTCCTTTTCTTTTCCATTGTACTAGTTCTTTCCAAATAGAGCCTTAAATCTATTGTTTTGTTTTGGTTTAGCTTTGCCTTAAATCAATTTACGCACATCTCTTTAGTGAGTTTGTTTTTCCCTTTCAGTTGGGGTTGGGGTTTTCTCTGTTTTTTCACAAAATCGGTGCTGCGAACATGGATTCATTTGGCTCTAGCAGTGTTTCAAACTCTTTTGAAGAAAACTCACATCAAATATCAAATAGGATAAAGATAACCAAATCAAGCAATTTAAGACAATATAGCACAAGATGAAAGATAGATATGAGATCAAGCTCAAGATAAATCATAAAGTATGCATGACTATACAATAGGGCACAATGTTGAAACAAATTTTTGTATTTTTAAATTTTCAATAATCGATCGAGATTTCCCACGATCGATCGAAAAGCTTATAGATTGATGCCCTGTGAACAAAACTTTTCGACGTAAAATCGATCGATCGAAAGAATTTTCAATCAATCGAGAACATGGTTGATCGATCGAAAAAAATTTCGATCGACTTGGCACTGGGTTGAAAAAATTTTGAAATTTTTTTGGCTCTTTTTTTTTTTTTTTTTTTTTTTTTTTTTAAAGCAGAAATTTTTTATTATGCCTAACATGCCTAAAATCTTCAATAAAGCTCAATGGAACATATCTAGATACTACAAGAAGTAAAAAATAAAAGAAATGGGGGAGGAATAGAGTTGTGAAACTCTACGAATACTAGTGTTTAATGTCTCTAGTAAGACATTGGTTCGACTTACTAGTCGAAAGTGTAAAAAACAGGATATGTAACATTTTCATTAACCCTCTTGTCAATTTTCTCATTCAGTGTCTTACTTACAACAAAAAAGTCCTCTCCCCATGGAATAACTTGAAAATGTATAAAAGAAATGATTTTGTTCCGTTCATCCACAGTCTTTGTAACGACCTGGTCATTTACCTTCCTTTCCTTTTTCCTGAAATTTTACGGATAAATTTTTTCCGTTTAATTTTCTTTTCTGAACTCTGTTTCTTGTCACATAGTGTCTTCTCGAGTGCTCGAAAATGATTTCTGAGACTCTTTCGTGTAGATTGACAACTTCCTTTGAGGACCGAGTCATTTTCGCATTTTCACTTTTGGGACACTATGCACTATTTCGTCTTTTTCCCTATTCTGTCTTATCTCCGTTTGTCAGTTTTTGGCACAACCTCACTTTTCATGCTCGGAGTTAGCTTTTGACTTCACGTGTCTTCATCTTCAGTGGTTTTCTCGAAATACGTATCTTTACTTTTGCAAGAAAGTACTCTGGTTGCTCCCGGTGTCCATAGAGGCATGATGCACAATTCTTTAGAATCTTTTTCATTTCTTGGAGTGTTTTTCATAAATATCTTTTGAAGATATTTTATTTTAGGGACATCTAAGAAAATATCTTTTGGAAGATATTTTCATTTTGGGGCAGTTTCGCAGTTAACCCTTTTTGTAGGGGCCATTGTGCAATTAACGAAAGTTATTGCAAAATGTCTTGTCTGGAGCCTGGATCCTCGTACGGGATTCATTTTCACATTTCGTCAAGTCATGGACTCTTGGGATTTCCTTCTGGTCATTTTTCTCCAGTTTCAGAGTTTTTGGACCCAGTTGTCACCGAACTTGTTCAGGGCATATCTCTCTGCTCAGGACTCAGTTTTCAAAGCCGTTTCTTCTGTTGTTCATATTTTCTCATTTTGAATCTTTTTGTTCATGGAGTTTTTTCGTTTGAGCGCGTTTGCTCAAAATCCACTTTTTCGGACCCGGCGGGGCCCGTTCGGGGCACTTTTTGAGATTTCTATGAAAGAGGGATGAGATATTTCATTTTTCATCTTCTCCACTCTCCTTGCACCACCTGAAGCAGCCATGGATGTCCATGGAGCTGCCACCTTCTCTCTCCTCCTTTGCTCTACTTTTCCTAAGTGAAAAGTCTTCGGCCTTCACGTTTTTTGTTCCCCTCGACGTGTTCTACCATTCTCCCTTATTAAAATTCATTTCTGACCATTTCTTGAGCTTGGGTTTGAAGTCAAGTTGTGATTTTCATGGGGCTTCCTTCGGATTCATGTAGATCGTGTTGTCCCCGACAAAACCCTTCGGTTTCGACGGATTCTAAACACTTTTCTTCCGGTGGGGATTTGAGATTTTCTTCTCAATTTGATGTAGGGGGTGTTATAATTTACTTTCTTACTATATTGCATGCTTGTGATGCTTATACAACTTGATTACATGCTTGAATCACAAAATCTAGAGATTTTATTATTTATTTTTCTTGTGAAGGATTTAATTTTCCCGGTAGTCCATATAGCTTTGTTTAAACATGTGGCATGATAGAATATTACCCTTTGACATGTTCATTGACATATATTAAATCTAGATTATTTGGACAAGTATTGAAGTTTTTATTTAATATTTATTTTGAATAAAATATTAAATCATGTGGCCTTAACTAGCTTGAAATTAATATGTGTTAGCATATTATATTAGGCCTTGGTATGCTCTTCAATATAGGTGAATTTGAGAGAAATTGAAAGTGTTTTGAAATCTAGTAATATTTAATTTATTAGATTAATTAATTTGCTCCAAGTGTACTATTGATCCCGTTGGATTTTCGACTTGGTATTCTTGATGTGCATGCCATATAGTTTCACATATATTAAGTATAGAGTATTTGATTAGGTTTTGAAACATTACATTTAATTAATTTCTTTGTTTGAGATTTAATCCTCATGATGATATACAACTTGGAATTAAAGTGTGACATGCTAGTAATTTAGACCTTGGTATACTTGTTAACATATATTAAATTGGAATCATTTGAATGAGAATTGTAACTTTTATTTAATATTTATCTTTGGTGAAAGTTAAATTTACATAGATGTAACTTGCATGAAATAAGCTTGTAATGTGATATTACAATAGGCTTTGGCATGTTTCCTAACATATGTTAATTTGAGAACATTTAGATGAGTTTGAAAATTTAGAGATTTTAATTAAAATGATTAATTAAAATCTATTTAATGATTCCCTTGGCTTAATTAAGTTTTTAACTTGATATTTGTAATGACTATGACTTGTTTACTAGCATATAGTAATTTGGGACCATTTGAAGTCGCTTTAGAACCTTAGGATTTAAATTAGCATGATTTAATTAAAATTCTACTTTATTGTTCCAACAACCTAATTGA